CCTGAACCCTGACATGAGTCAGCATTATGAGTCCTGAACCCTGAGATCAGCATTATGAGTCCTAACCCTGAGATTAGTCAGCATTATAGTCCTAACACTGACATGAGTCAGCGTTATGAGTCCTGAACCCTGACATGAGTCAGCATTATGAGTCCTGAACCCTGAGATTAGTCAGCATTATGAGTCCTAAACCCTGACATGAGTCAGCGTTATGAGTCCTGAACCCTGACATGAGTCAGCATTATGAGTCCTGAACCCTGAGATTAGTCAGCATTATGAGTCCTAAAACCCTGACATGAGGTCAGCGTTATGAGTCCTGAACCCTGAATGAGTCAGCGTTATGAGTCCTGAACCCTGACATGATTCAGCGTTATGAGTCCTGAACCCCTGACATGAGTCAGCGTATGAGTCTGAAACCCTGACATGAGTCAGCGTTATGAGTCTTTACCCCTGACAAGAGTCAGCATTATGAGTCCTAACCCCTGACATGAGTCAGCATTATGAGTCCTAACCCCTGACAAGAGTCAGCATTACGAGTCCTAACCCCTGACATGAGTCAGCATTATGAGTCCTAACCCCTGACATGAGTCAGCGTTATGAGTCTTTACCCCTGACAAGAGTCAGCATTATGAGTCCTAACCCCTGACATGAGTCCTAACCCCTGACATGAGTCAGCATTATGAGTCCTAACCCCTGACATGAGTCAGCGTTATGAGTCCTGAACCCTGACATGAGTCAGCATTATGACTCCTGAACCTTGAGATGAGTCAGCGTTATGAGTCCTGAACCCTGACATGAGTCAGCATTATGAGTCCTGAACCCTGAGATGAGTCAGCGTTATGAGTCCTGAACCCTGAGATGAGTCAGCGTTATGACTCCTGAACCCTGAGATGAGTCAGCGTTATGAGTCCTGAACCCTGAGATGAGTCAGCGTTATGACTCCTGAACCCTGAGATGAGTCAGCGTTATGAGTCCTGAACCCTGACATGAGTCAGCGTTATGACTCCTGAACCCTGAGATGAGTCAGCGTTATGAGTCCTGAACCCTGACATGAGTCAGCATTATGACTCCTGAACCCTGAGATGAGTCAGCATTATGAGTCCTGAACCCTGAGATTAGTCAGCGTTATGAGTCCTGAACCCTGACATGAGTCAGCGTTATGAGTCCTGAACCCTGACATGAGTCAGCATTATGACTCCTGAACCCTGAGATGAGTCAGCATTATGAGTCCTGAACCCTGAGATTAGTCAGCATTATGAGTCCTAAACCCTGACATGAGTCAGCGTTATGAGTCCTGAACCCTGACATGAGTCAGCGTTATGAGTCCTAACCCCTGACATGAGTCAGCATTATGAGTCCTAACCCCTGACATGAGTCAGCGTTATGAGTCTTTACCCCTGACAAGAGTCAGCATTATGAGTCCTAACCCCTGACATGAGTCAGCGTTATGAGTCCTAACCCCTGACATGAGTCAGCATTATGAGTCCTAACCCCTGACATGAGTCAGCGTTATGAGTCCTGAACCCTGACATGAGTCAGCATTATGACTCCTGAACCTTGAGATGAGTCAGCGTTATGAGTCCTGAACCCTGACATGAGTCAGCATTATGAGTCCTGAACCCTGAGATGAGTCAGCGTTATGAGTCCTGAACCCTGAGATGAGTCAGCGTTATGACTCCTGACCCTGAGATGAGTCAGCGTTATGAGTCCTGAACCCTGAGATGAGTCAGCGTTATGACTCCTGAACCCTGAGATGAGTCAGCGTTATGAGTCCTGAACCCTGACATGAGTCAGCGTTATGACTCCTGAACCCTGAGATGAGTCAGCGTTATGAGTCCTGAACCCTGACATGAGTCAGCATTATGACTCCTGAACCCTGAGATGAGTCAGCATTATGAGTCCTGAACCCTGAGATTAGTCAGCGTTATGAGTCCTGAACCCTGACATGAGTCAGCGTTATGAGTCCTGAACCCTGACATGAGTCAGCATTATGACTCCTGAACCCTGAGATGAGTCAGCATTATGAGTCCTGAACCCTGAGATTAGTCAGCATTATGAGTCCTAAACCCTGACATGAGTCAGCGTTATGAGTCCTGAACCCTGACATGAGTCAGCGTTATGAGTCCTGAACCCTGACATGAGTCAGCATTATGAGTCCTGAACCCTGAGATTAGTCAGCGTTATGAGTCCTGAACCCTGACATGAGTCAGCGTTATGAGTCCTGAACCCTGACATGAGTCAGCGTTATGAGTCTTTACCCCTGACAAGAGTCAGCATTACGAGTCCTAACCCCTGACATGAGTCAGCATTATGAGTCCTAACCCCTGACATGAGTCAGCATTATGAGTCCTAACCCCTGACATGAGTCAGCATTATGAGTCCTAACCCCTGACATGAGTCAGCATTATGAGTCCTGAACCCTGAGATGAGTCAGCATTATGACTCCTGAACCCTGAGATGAGTCAGCGTTATGACTCCTGAACCCTGAGATGAGTCAGCATTATGACTCCTGAACCCTGAGATGAGTCAGCGTTATGACTCCTGAACCCTGAGATGAGTCAGCGTTATGAGTCCTGAACCCTGACATGAGTCAGCATTATGAGTCCTGAACCCTGAGATTAGTCAGCATTATGAGTCCTGAACCCTGAGATGAGTCAGCGTTATGACTCCTGAACCCTGAGATGAGTCAGCGTTATGACTCCTGAACCCTGAGATGAGTCAGCGTTATGACTCCTGAACCCTGAGATGAGTCAGCATTATGAGTCCTGAACCCTGAGATTAGTCAGCATTATGAGTCCTAAACCCTGACATGAGTCAGCGTTATGAGTCCTGAACCCTGACATGAGTCAGCGTTATGAGTCCTGAACCCTGACATGAGTCAGCGTTATGAGTCCTGAACCCTGACATGAGTCAGCGTTATGAGTCCTGAACCCTGACATGAGTCAGCGTTATGAGTCCTGAACCCTGACATGAGTCAGCATTATGAGTCCTGAACCCTGAGATTAGTCAGCATTATGAGTCCTAAACCCTGACATGAGTCAGCGTTATGAGTCCTGAACCCTGACATGAGTCAGCATTATGAGTCCTGAACCCTGAGATTAGTCAGCATTATGAGTCCTAAACCCTGACATGAGTCAGCGTTATGAGTCCTGAACCCTGACATGAGTCAGCATTATGAGTCCTGAACCCTGACATGAGTCAGCATTATGAGTCCTGAACCCTGAGATTAGTCAGCATTATGAGTCCTAAACCCTGACATGAGTCAGCGTTATGAGTCCTGAACCCTGACATGAGTCAGCGTTATGAGTCCTGAACCCTGACATGAGTCAGCATTATGAGTCCTGAACCCTGAGATTAGTCAGCATTATGAGTCCTAAACCCTGACATGAGTCAGCGTTATGAGTCCTGAACCCTGACATGAGTCAGCGTTATGAGTCCTGAACCCTGACATGAGTCAGCGTTATGAGTCCTGAACCCTGACATGAGTCAGCGTTATGAGTCCTGAACCCTGACATGAGTCAGCGTTATGAGTCTTTACCCCTGACAAGAGTCAGCATTATGAGTCCTAACCCCTGACATGAGTCAGCGTTATGAGTCTTTACCCCTGACAAGAGTCAGCATTATGAGTCCTAACCCCTGACATGAGTCAGCGTTATGAGTCCTAACCCCTGACATGAGTCAGCATTATGAGTCCTAACCCCTGACATGAGTCAGCGTTATGAGTCCTGAACCCTGACATGAGTCAGCATTATGACTCCTGAACCTTGAGATGAGTCAGCGTTATGAGTCCTGAACCCTGACATGAGTCAGCATTATGAGTCCTGAACCCTGAGATGAGTCAGCGTTATGAGTCCTGAACCCTGAGATGAGTCAGCGTTATGACTCCTGAACCCTGAGATGAGTCAGCGTTATGAGTCCTGAACCCTGAGATGAGTCAGCGTTATGACTCCTGAACCCTGAGATGAGTCAGCGTTATGAGTCCTGAACCCTGACATGAGTCAGCGTTATGACTCCTGAACCCTGAGATGAGTCAGCGTTATGAGTCCTGAACCCTGACATGAGTCAGCATTATGACTCCTGAACCCTGAGATGAGTCAGCATTATGAGTCCTGAACCCTGAGATTAGTCAGCGTTATGAGTCCTGAACCCTGACATGAGTCAGCGTTATGAGTCCTGAACCCTGACATGAGTCAGCATTATGACTCCTGAACCCTGAGATGAGTCAGCATTATGAGTCCTGAACCCTGAGATTAGTCAGCATTATGAGTCCTAAACCCTGACATGAGTCAGCGTTATGAGTCCTGAACCCTGACATGAGTCAGCGTTATGAGTCCTGAACCCTGACATGAGTCAGCATTATGAGTCCTGAACCCTGAGATTAGTCAGCGTTATGAGTCCTGAACCCTGACATGAGTCAGCGTTATGAGTCCTGAACCCTGACATGAGTCAGCGTTATGAGTCTTTACCCCTGACAAGAGTCAGCATTACGAGTCCTAACCCCTGACATGAGTCAGCATTATGAGTCCTAACCCCTGACATGAGTCAGCGTTATGAGTCTTTACCCCTGACAAGAGTCAGCATTACGAGTCCTAACCACTGACATGAGTCAGCGTTATGAGTCTTTACCCCTGACAAGAGTCAGCATTATGAGTCCTAACCCCTGACATGAGTCAGCGTTATGAGTCTTTACCCCTGACAAGAGTCAGCATTATGAGTCCTAACCCCTGACATGAGTCAGCGTTATGAGTCCTAACCCCTGACATGAGTCAGCATTATGAGTCCTAACATGAGAAGAGTCAGCATTATGAGTCCTGAGATGAGTCAGCGTTATGAGTCCTAACATGAGAAGAGTCAGCATTATGAGTCCTGACACGAGTCAGCGTTATGAGTCCTAACATGACATGAGTCAGCATTATGAGGCCTGAGATGAGTCAGCGTTATGAGTCCTAACCCCTGACATGAGTCAGCATTATGAGACCTGATCAGTGTGTGTTCCTCAGTGCTATGGGGACCGTGGTGGTCGATGGGATGATCTACGTTTGCGGCGGCTATGACGGGAAGTCGTCTCTGAACTCAGTGGAGCGCTACAGCCCGGAGACCGACCGGTGAGTCGGCATAAATACGTTTAATACGTTCAATATATAAATTCACTTCATACTTTATAATGTTTCTGATCTATATACATTTAATTATTATTGTAAAATATACAAGCTGTAAAATATTATTTGTAATATTTATATTTGCTTGTACTGTTAGATAGTATATATATTTATATATACTATCTAACAGGTGGTGCTGGTGGCCGATACTATACATTAGGCGCTTACACACCGCAGTACTTTTCCACCATCAGAACTTAGTTCATGAGAACTCTTTAGTATGTAATGTAATGTGTTGCTATAAGTTAGTCTCTCTGCGTTTGTGCGCTGGGCTAATGCTAATGCTAATGCGAGGATAATAAAATGGCGGCTTCACAAAACTTTTTGGGAGTTTTACGGGGCGTGGTTTGCAATCCGCCCAGCCAATCAGAAATAGGAACCTTTTTCTCCCACGAAAGTCCCTGCTCTCTAGCCGGGACGGGCAAGGGGGTGAAAAGGTTCATGAACTCATTTTGGTGTGAACGCAACATTTCGGAACTATATCGGAACTAAAGTGGGAAAAGTACTGCGGTGTGAACGCGCCTATTATATAATAAATGTAGTGTCATAATAATAATAAATGTGTGTACAGATGGACGCTGGTTGCGGAGATGAGTGCGAGTCGCAGCGCTGCCGGCGTCACGGTGTTCGACGGACGCATCTTCGTGTCCGGCGGCCATGACGGTCTGCAGATCTTCAACACGGTCAGTCTCTCCTTTTACCACATACACACACACACACACACACACACACACACACACACACACGTGTAATAACATGTGTGCAGGTGGATAATAACATGTGTAATAACGCGTGTAATAACATGTGTGCAGGTGGATAATAACATTATTTAGCCTTTATTTATACAGGTGTAAAATCTCATTGAGACACAAGGTCTCATTTGCAAGAGAGACCTGTCAGTGGTAACACTACCACACAAAGTTACAGACAGGACACTATCTGTGTCCTATTAACATGTGTAATAACACGTGTAATAACATGTGTGCAGGTGGATAATAACATGTGTAATAACACGTGTAATAACATGTGTGCAGGTGGAGTATTACAACCACCACACGGACCGCTGGCACCCGGCGGCGGCCATGTTGAATAAGCGCTGCCGTCACGGCGCGGCGGCGCTCGGCAGCATGATGTTCGTGGCGGGGGGGTACGACGGCTCGGGCTTCCTGAGCGGGGCGGAGGTGTTCGACTCTCGGGGGGGGCAGTGGCGCCCCCTGGTGGCCATGAACACGCGGCGCAGCAGAGTCTCTCTGGTGGCCTCCGCCGGGCGCCTCTTCGCTGTGGGGGGGTACGACGGGCAGTCCAACCTGGGCTCTGTGGAGGTCTACACCCCCGACCCCCCCCGCTGGAGCTTCATGGCCCCCATGGTTTCTCACGAGGGGGGGGTGGGGGTGGGCTGCGTGCCGCTGCAGCCCGCCTAGCCCCTCCCCCTGAGGGCAGCCCAATCAGATCCATCGATACGACGGCCGGCGCAGACCTGCACACTGACGCCGGCCCGCGGCATTATGGGTAAAGACTGTCCGGCTAGCCACGGAGGCTAACGCTAGCATGGGACCGATTCATGTTAATGTTGATTTTTACTTGATTATGACTGGAGGTCACTTCCTGTCCCAAGACCGGAACAGGAAGCTCTGATCCCAGGTCACTGATCAGCTGACAGGAAGTGCAGCTGCATGAACAGGAAGTAGACGGACACACGTCTGCAGACTGGAAAAACTTCTAAATAAAACACTGAACCCCAATCCACAGGTCGCTGTATAAAGACAACATGTCCCCCCCCCCCCCCCCCCCCCAGTGATTCAGAGGCCAGAGTGATGTCATAAACCCCCCCCCCCCAACTCATCTGACTGCTGGTTTTATTGTGAACAAGGAGAAACTCATGCTAACATGCTAACACCAACTCACTTCCTGTCCCCTGGTCTGGAGGTCAATGGTTTCTGGATGTTGTTAGTCTGAAATCAGGTCTGTGGTTCCCACGAGCTGCAGAGACTTCAACGTGTTCTCCTACGTCAGTCAATACCCCACCGGTGATTTAGGTGGCTAGCAAGAGTTGAAATGAGACGAAACGTCATCACGAGTAATTGTGTTAATAAAGAGCGTATTTAATGAAAGTTGATCTGTCGTCATGTTCTCCTCTCCTGACTCCTCCAACCGATCACACGTGCTTTATTCTGAGTGACTAGACCAAGCAGGAACAAATGTTATTATTATAATATCTCATAAGTTCCAGATCCAGACTCCAGGGTGAGACGCACACAGTGTCAGTTATTCATAACGTGTTAATTTATTGTTGAGATGCAGATTAAACAAAAACAATGGATACAAATATCTTTAAAGTTTCTTTAATATCGAGTAACAGCGGTTTATTAATCAGAAACCATCAATAACAATAATTACACCTCATACAATCACTGTATATAAATATTATATTTGACTGTATATCTAATATCAGATTGATTCAGAATCACTGAACAGGTCAAAGGGCAACTCAGTTTCCCACAATCCTTTGGGTTTAACGGTGCGTTCAGGTGTCCTTGTCTCCCAGGTAACTCAGTGAAAGGTGTGTATATAATATATCAATATTTAATATAGGAACAAGGAACCCCTGAACACCTCACCGGTCTCACTTTCATTATTCATATTTATATTTATTAATATATCTGTATTCAGTTATATGTATTACTTTACTCAGGGTCCTGGAGGACCTCAGGGATCAGGGTCCTGGAGGACCTCAGGGATCAGGGTCCTGGAGGTCCTCAGGGATCAGGGTCCTGGAGGTCCTCAGGAATCAGGGTCCTGGAGGACCTCAGGGATCAGGGTCCTGGAGGACCTCAGGGATCAGGGTCCTGGAGGTCCTCAGGGATCAGGGTCCTGGAGGTCCTCAGGGATCAGGGTCCTGGAGGTCCTCAGGGATCAGGGTCCTGGAGGACCTCAGGGATCAGGGTCCTGGAGGACCTCAGGGATCAGGGTCCTGGAGGTCCTCAGGGATCAGGGTCCTGGAGGTCCTCAGGGATCAGGGTCCTGGAGGTCCTCAGGGATCAGGGTCCTGGAGGTCCTCAGGAATCAGGGTCCTGGAGGACCTCAGGGATCAGGGTCCTGGAGGTCCTCCGGGATCAGGGTCCTGGAGGACCTCAGGGATCAGGGTCCTGGAGGTCTTCAGGGATCAGGGTCCTGGAGGTCCTCTGTGATCAGGGTCCTGGAGATCCTCAGGGATCAGGGTCCTCAGTGATCAGGGTCCTGGAGGTCCTGCAGAGTCAGTCCTGGAGTCTCCCTTGGGCACTGAGTGCAGACCTGAAACCCTGCAGAGGATCATAATTCAGTTTTTATTATTTCATGGTTTGACTGTTTCTGCTGACTCATGGTTAGACTCTAATGTTTCTGCTGACTCATGGTTAGACTGTAATGTTTCTGCTGACTCATGGTTAGACTCTAATGTTTCTGCTGACTCATGGTTAGACTCTAATGTTTCTGCTGACTCATGGTTTGACTAATGTTTCTGCTGACTCATGGTTAGACTAATGTTTCAGCTGACTCATGGTTAGACTCTAATGTTTCTGCTGACTCATGGTTAGACTCTAATGTTTCTGCTGACTCATGGTTTGACTAATGTTTCTGCTGACTCATGGTTAGACTAATGTTTCTGCTGACTCATGGTTAGACTAATGTTTCTGCTGACTCATGGTTAGACTCTAATGTTTCTGCTGACTCATGGTTAGACTAATGTTTCTGCTGACTCATGGTTAGACTAATGTTTCTGCTGACTCATGGTTAGACTCTAATGTTTCTGCTGACTCATGGTTAGACTAATGTTTCTGCTGACTCATGGTTAGACTAATGTTTCAGCTGACTCATGGTTAGACCAATGTTTCTGCTGACTCATGGTTAGACTCTAATGTTTCTGCTGACTCATGGTTAGACTAATGTTTCTGCTGACTCATGGTTAGACTAATGTTTCTGCTGACTCATGGTTAGACTCTAATGTTTCTGCTGACTCATGGTTAGACTAATGTTTCTGCTGACTCATGGTTAGACTAATGTTTCTGCTGACTCATGGTTAGACTCTAATGTTTCTGCTGACTCATGGTTAGACTAATGTTTCTGCTGACTCATGGTTAGACTCTAATGTTTCTGCTGACTCATGGTTAGACTAATGTTTCTGCTGACTCATGGTTAGACTCTAATGTTTCTGCTGACTCATGGTTAGACTAATGTTTCTGCTGAGTCATGGTTAGACTCTAATGTTTCTGCTGACTCATGGTTAGACTCTAATGTTTCAGCTGACTCATGGTTAGACTGTAATGTTTCTGCTGACTCATGGTTAGACTCTAATGTTTCTGCTGACTCATGGTTAGACCAATGTTTCTGCTGACTCATGGTTAGACTCTAATGTTTCTGCTGACTCATGGTTAGACTAATGTTTCTGCTGAGTCATGGTTAGACTCTAATGTTTCTGCTGACTCATGGTTAGACTCTAATGTTTCTGCTGACTCATGGTTAGACTAATGTTTCTGCTGACTCATGGTTAGACTCTAATGTTTCTGCTGACTCATGGTTAGACTAATGTTTCTGCTGACTCATGGTTAGACTAATGTTTCTGCTGACTCATGGTTAGACTCTAATGTTTCTGCTGACTCATGGTTAGACTAATGTTTCTGCTGACTCATGGTTAGACTCTAATGTTTCTGCTGACTCATGGTTAGACCAATGTTTCTGCTGACTCATGGTTTGACTAATGTTTCTGCTGACTCATGGTTAGACTCTAATGTTTCTGCTGACTCATGGTTAGACTCTAATGTTTCTGCTGACTCATGGTTAGACTAATGTTTCTGCTGACTCATGGTTAGACTGCTGACTCATGGTTAGACTCTAATGTTTCTGCTGACTCATGGTTAGACTGTAATGTTTCTGCTGACTTATGGTTAGACTAATGTTTCTGCTGACTCATGGTTAGACTAATGTTTCTGCTGACTCATGGTTAGACTGTAATGTTTCTGCTGACTCATGGTTAGACTCTAATGTTTCAGCTGACTCATGGTTAGACTAATGTTTCTGCTGACTCATGGTTAGACTAATGTTTCTGCTGACTCATGGTTAGACTCTAATGTTTCTGCTGACTCATGGTTAGACTCTAATGTTTCTGCTCACTCATGGTTAGACTAATGTTTCTGCTGACTCATGGTTAGACTCTAATGTTTCTGCTGACTCATGGTTAGACTGTAATGTTTCTGCTGACTCATGGTTAGACTAATGTTTCTGCTGACTCATGGTTAGACTCTAATGTTTCTGCTGACTCATGGTTAGACTAATGTTTCTGCTGACTCATGGTTAGACTAATGTTTCTGCTGACTCATGGTTAGACTCTAATGTTTCTGCTGACTCATGGTTAGACTAATGTTTCTGCTGACTCATGGTTAGACTCTAATGTTTTCTGCTGACTCATGGTTAGACTGTAATGTTTCTGCTGACTCATGGTTAGACTAATGTTTCTGCTGACTCATGGTTAGACTCTAATGTTTTCTGCTGACTCATGGTTAGACTAATGTTTCTGCTGACTCATGGTTTAGACTCTAATGTTTCTGCTGACTCATGGTTAGACCAATGTTTCTGCTGACTCATGGTTTGACTAATGTTCTGCTGACTCATGGTTAGACTCTAATGTTTCTGCTGACTCATGGTTAGACTCTAATGTTTCTGCTGACTCATGGTTAGACTAATGTTTCTGCTGACTCATGGTTAGACTGCTGACTCATGGTTAGACTCTAATGTTTCTGCTGACTCATGGTTAGACTGTAATGTTTCTGCTGACTTATGGTTAGACTAATGTTTCTGCTGACTCATGGTTAGACTAATGTTTCTGCTGACTCATGGTTAGACTGTAATGTTTCTGCTGACTCATGGTTAGACTCTAATGTTTCAGCTGACTCATGGTTAGACTAATGTTTCTGCTGACTCATGGTTAGACTAATGTTTCTGCTGACTCATGGTTAGACTCTAATGTTTCTGCTGACTTATGGTTAGACTAATGTTTCTGCTGACTCATGGTTAGACTAATGTTTCTGCTGACTCATGGTTAGACTGTAATGTTTCTGCTGACTCATGGTTAGACTCTAATGTTTCTGCTGACTCATGGTTAGACTCTAATGTTTCTGCTCACTCATGGTTAGACTCTAATGTTTCTGCTGACTCATGGTTAGACTACTGACTCATGGTTAGACTCTAATGTTTCTGCTGACTCATGGTTAGACTACTGACTCATGGTTAGACTCTAATGTTTCTGCTCACTCATGGTTAGACTAATGTTTCTGCTGACTCATGGTTAGACTCTAATGTTTCTGCTGACTCATGGTTAGACTCTAATGTTTCTGCTGACTCATGGTTAGACTAATGTTTCTGCTGACTCATGGTTAGACTGCTGACTCATGGTTAGACTCTAATGTTTCTGCTGACTCATGGTTAGACTGTAATGTTTCTGCTGACTTATGGTTAGACTAATGTTTCTGCTGACTCATGGTTAGACTAATGTTTCTGCTGACTCATGGTTAGACTGTAATGTTTCTGCTGACTCATGGTTAGACTCTAATGTTTCAGCTGACTCATGGTTAGACTAATGTTTCTGCTGACTCATGGTTAGACTAATGTTTCTGCTGACTCATGGTTAGACTCTAATGTTTCTGCTGACTCATGGTTAGACTCTAATGTTTCTGCTCACTCATGGTTAGACTAATGTTTCTGCTGACTCATGGTTAGACTCTAATGTTTCTGCTGACTCATGGTTAGACTGTAATGTTTCTGCTGACTCATGGTTAGACTAATGTTTCTGCTGACTCATGGTTAGACTCTAATGTTTCTGCTGACTCATGGTTAGACTAATGTTTCTGCTGACTCATGGTTAGACTAATGTTTCTGCTGACTCATGGTTAGACTCTAATGTTTCTGCTGACTCATGGTTAGACTAATGTTTCTGCTGACTCATGGTTAGACTCTAATGTTTCTGCTGACTCATGGTTAGACTGTAATGTTTCTGCTGACTCATGGTTAGACTAATGTTTCTGCTGACTCATGGTTAGACTCTAATGTTTCTGCTGACTCATGGTTAGACTAATGTTTCTGCTGACTCATGGTTAGACTCTAATGTTTCTGCTGACTCATGGTTAGACCAATGTTTCTGCTGACTCATGGTTTGACTAATGTTTCTGCTGACTCATGGTTAGACTCTAATGTTTCTGCTGACTCATGGTTAGACTCTAATGTTTCTGCTGACTCATGGTTAGACTAATGTTTCTGCTGACTCATGGTTAGACTGCTGACTCATGGTTAGACTCTAATGTTTCTGCTGACTCATGGTTAGACTGTAATGTTTCTGCTGACTTATGGTTAGACTAATGTTTCTGCTGACTCATGGTTAGACTAATGTTTCTGCTGACTCATGGTTAGACTGTAATGTTTCTGCTGACTCATGGTTAGACTCTAATGTTTCAGCTGACTCATGGTTAGACTAATGTTTCTGCTGACTCATGGTTAGACTAATGTTTCTGCTGACTCATGGTTAGACTCTAATGTTTCTGCTGACTTATGGTTAGACTAATGTTTCTGCTGACTCATGGTTAGACTAATGTTTCTGCTGACTCATGGTTAGACTGTAATGTTTCTGCTGACTCATGGTTAGACTCTAATGTTTCTGCTGACTCATGGTTAGACTCTAATGTTTCTGCTCACTCATGGTTAGACTAATGTTTCTGCTGACTCATGGTTAGACTCTAATGTTTCTGCTGACTCATGGTTAGACTACTGACTCATGGTTAGACTCTAATGTTTCTGCTGACTCATGGTTAGACTACTGACTCATGGTTAGACTCTAATGTTTCTGCTCACTCATGGTTAGACTAATGTTTCTGCTGACTCATGGTTAGACTCTAATGTTTCTGCTGACTCATGGTTAGACTGCTGACTCATGGTTAGACTGTAATGTTTCTGCTGACTCATGGTTAGACTAATGTTTCAGCTGACTCATGGTTAGACTCTAATGTTTCAGCTGACTCATGGTTAGACTCTAATGTTTCTGCTGACTCATGGTTAGACTAATGTTTCTGCTGACTCATGGTTAGACTGCTGACTCATGGTTAGACTCTAATGTTTCAGCTGACTCATGGTTAGACTAATGTTTCTGCTGACTCATGGTTAGACTCTAATGTTTCTGCTGACTCATGGTTAGACTAATGTTTCTGCTGACTCATGGTTAGACTCTAATGTTTCAGCTGACTCATGGTTAGACTCTAGTGTTTCTGCTGACTCATGGTTAGACTGCTGACTCATGGTTAGACTGTAATGTTTCTGCTGACTCATGGTTAGACTCTAATGTTTCAGCTGACTCATGGTTAGACTGTAATGTTTCTGCTGACTCATGGTTAGACTGCTGACTCATGGTTAGACTGTAATGTTTCTGCTGACTCATGGTTAGACTCTAATGTTTCAGCTGACTCATGGTTAGACTCTAGTGTTTCTGCTGACTCATGGTTAGACTAATGTTTCTGCTGACTCATGGTTAGACTGTAATGTTTCTGCTGACTCATGGTTAGACTGTAATGTTTCAGCTGACTCATGGTTAGACTCTAGTGTTTCTGCTGACTCATGGTTAGACTGCTGACTCATGGTTAGACTGTAATGTTTCTGCTGACTCATGGTTAGACTGTAATGTTTCTGCTGACTCATGGTTAGACTCTAATGTTTCAGCTGACTCATGGTTAGACTCTAGTGTTTCTGCTGACTCATGGTTAGACTGCTGACTCATGGTTAGACTGTAATGTTTCTGCTGACTCATGGTTAGACTCTAATGTTTCTGCTGACTCATGGTTAGACTCTAATGTTTCTGCTGACTCATGGTTAGACTGTAATGTTTCTGCTGACTCATGGTTAGACTGTAATGTTTCTGCTGACTCATGGTTAGACTGCTGACTCATGGTTAGACTGTAATGTTTCTGCTGACTCATGGTTAGACTCTAATGTTTCTGCTGACTCATGGTTAGACTGTAATGTTTCTGCTGACTCATGGTTAGACCCTGAAAGGTGTCTCACGGTGTGAAGCGGCTCTCCTCCCCGTCCAGCACCCCGTGGTACACGCCCACGTCCCTCTCCAGGCGCTGCTTGTTGCTCAGCAGCGTGTCGTAGAGGCGTCTCTGCTGCTGGATCTCCTCCTGCAGCTCGCTCAGCTCCGCCTGCAGCTGCAGAACCACTGAGGCCCGGTTCTGCTGCTCCACCTGCTGCCAGTGCTGAGCGTCTGACAGGGAGCTCTGCAGACCCCGCCTCTACAGGGGGGGGGGAGATAGAGAGAGAGAGAGAGTGTTTCCAATTAAAAAGATTCAAAGGGTTTATTGTCATATGGAAGCTACAGTGTAGAAATGCCAATTAAAATCTTAAGACCCGAGCTCCTCCAACAATGCAACATATATAATAAAATACAAAAATAGAAATACAAATAAAATAGTGTGTGTGTGTGTGTGTCTCTCACCAGTGCTCTGATGGACTCGCTCTCTGCCTGCTGGTTCTGGATCTGACAGCAGGTGTCGCTGCACTCGGCCTTCAGAGCCTCCACCTGCTGCTCCTCAGGACTCAGACTCACACACTGCGCCTCCTACACACACACACACACACACACACACACACACACACACACACTCATGTTTGGGGCAGGTACAGTCAGCACGTAATATAACTCTGCAGCAGCTGAGACACACTGTATTATTATAATATAAGGAAGCTTTGTTTGCACTGTCCAGAGGCACAAGGAGGTGAAAGGGATGATCGTAAAATACAATAAATAATGATCCCTCTCGGTAAAATAAAGGAAGACAAAATTAATAAAAGCTATAAAATAATAAAGAAATGTAAAAAAATAAAGTAAAGTAATTATGAAAAGATGATTAAAACTATAAAGGAAAGAAAACCTATGAAATAAAAGACTCCCTTGTATCCCTCTCTCGTCCCTGATTGGCCGGCCTCACCTTGCCGTCCAGGTAGCAGTCGGTCTCGGCCCGGTTCCTCTCCGTCAGCGCCTCCCAGTGGCTTCGGATGTGGCTCAGGATCCGGTCCAGACTGGTTCTGATCGGAGCGTCGGGCTGGTCCAGCTCGCGGCCCGACATCTGAGCGTAGAGACTGCGGACGTCCTGTGGTCACATGACCTCGTGAGAGACATCCCAACAACCAGAGAGGGCTAGAGTACTCGCATCCTTCACTGAGAGGAACATCCCATAATAATAACTCATAATAATGTGAGGTCATTCTGACAAATGCTGGCGGTTTCACGTGTTTTATAAACAGGGTCTGGGTCTGGTTCTGGTTAACAGGTTCTGGTGGCTCTGAATTGGGTCTGGTTCAGGTTCTGGTGGCTCAGAATTGGGTCTGGTTCAGGTTCTGGTGGCTCTGAATTGGGTCTGGTTCAGGTTCTGGTGGCTCTGAATTGGGTCTGGTTCAGGTTCTGGTGGCTCTGAATTGGGTCTGGTTCAGGTTCTGGTGGCTCTGAATTGGGTCTGGTTCAGGTTCTGGTGGCTCTGAATTGGGTCTGGGTCAGGTTCTGGTGGCTCTGAATTGGGTCTGGTTCAGGTTCTGGTGGCTCTGAATTGGGTCTGGTTCAGGTTCTGGTGGCTCTGAATTGGGTCTGGTTCAGGTGGCTCTGAATTGGGTCTGGTTGTGGTTCTCCTACCTGCTGGTGGTCCTGCTCCAGGTGCTGTAGCTCCTCCCTCATGCTCTCCAGCTGCTCCTGAAGCTCCGCCCTGCTGAGCCCCGCCTCCTGGATCACTTTGTGCAGAGAGAAGATCTCGTCCTGGACCAGAGTCCTGAAGGGCTGCTCGCTCTCAAACCTGGGGAACAAGGTCAATGGGTTCTGGTTCTGCCTCCTTCTGGGTGTGTGTGTGTGTGTGTGTGTGTGTGTGTGTGTGTGTGTGTGTGTGGTGTGTGTGTGTGTGTGTGTGTGTGTGTGTGTGTGTGGTGTGTGTGGGTGTGTGTGTGTGGTGTGTGTGTGTGTGTGTGTGTGTGTGTGTGTGGTGTGTGTGTGTGTGTGTGTGTGTGTGTGTGTGTGTGTGTGTGTGTGTGTGTGTGTGTGTGCAACTCGATTTTGACAGGATAACAACTGTCAAGTCTGCAGACAGACGGCAGGAGAAACACCTTTTAAAATGCGTGTTTTCTAAATGGAGATTGGCTAAGCTAACGCAGTATACGCTCCGACCGTCCACACTCACAACAACGGCCTATACAGACATAAATAAAGCAGCGACTGTATTCACCATGACACAGGCAGTCTGTGGTTTGTACTTGTTTAACTTTTGTCTAGTTTCTGAACAGATATGAGGAGCTGTGAGCTCTGAGTGCTAACAGCTAACGGCTGTGTTGTTTTTCTGGGGTTCTCATTGAAGATGACGTCACGGCTCCGCCTACACTGCGTTACTATAGTTACTACCCCAGTTCCTAAACTGTAATGGAAATGTGCCATAAAGTGAGCCAGTCCTAACAAAGCCTAACTATACCGTACTAAGCCGAGCGAGGCCCTGCAGTGGAAATGCGCCATAAGACTGACTAAGACAATAGAGTCCTGATGGAGTCAGACTGACTAAGACAATAGAGTCCTGATGGAGTCAGACTGACTAAGACAATAGAGTCCTGATGGAGTCAGACTGACTAAGACAATAGAGTCCTGATGGAGTCAGACTGACTAAGACAATAGAGTCCTGATGGAGTCAGACTGACTAAGACAATAGAGTCCTGATGGAGTCAGACTGACTAAGACAATAGAGTCATGATGGAGTCAGACTGACTAAGACAATAGAGTCCTGATGGAGTCAGACTGACTAAGACAATAGAGTCCTGATGGAGTCAGACTGACTAAGACAATAGAGTCCTGATGGAGTCAGACTGACTAAGACAATAGAGTCCTGATGGAGTCAGACTGACTAAGACAATAGAGTCCTGATGGAGTCAGACTGACTAAGACAATAGAGTCCTGATGGAGTCAGACTGACTAAGACAATAGAGTCCTGATGGAGTCAGACTGACTAAGACAATAGAGTCATGATGGAGTCAGACTGACTAAGACAATAGAGTCCTGTTGGAGTCAGACTGACTAAGACAAGAGAGTCCTGTTGGAGTCAGACTGACTAAGACAAGAGAGTCCTGTTGGAGTCAGACTGACTAAGACAATAGAGTCCTGTTGGAGTCAGACTGACTAAGACAAGAGAGTCCTGTTGGAGTCAGACTGACTAAGACAAGAGAGTCCTGTTGGAGTCAGACTGACTAAGACAAGAGAGTCCTGTTGGAGTCAGACTGACTAAGACAATAGAGTCATGATGGAGTCAGACTGACTAAGACAATAGAGTCCTGTTGGAGTCAGACTGACTAAGACAAGAGAGTCCTGTTGGAGTCAGACTGACTAAGACAAGAGAGTCCTGTTGGAGTCAGACTGACTAAGACAATAGAGTCCTGTTGGAGTCAGACTGACTAAGACAATAGAGTCCTGTTGGAGTCAGACTGACTAAGACAAGAGAGTCCTGTTGGAGTCAGACTGACTAAGACAAGAGAGTCCTGTTGGAGTCACGAGGGAGGCAAAGTGGAGGTAAATCCTACTTTAAAGTATCGCTGGTGTTTTTATCCACTCTTGCTAAAAACATGTGTATATTCTCCATTCCTGTTCATGTGTCTTCTCGCAATTATTACTGAGAGGAGTTGCGCCCCAGTCCTTAATCAGGATAGTAAAGCCAACCATGAAGAACAAAGTCATCCCAAATCCTATACGGAGAACCGGGATGACTGGAAGCGACGATGGAGGGCTCGTCTGAGGACGACCTCGAGAGATCACTGGCCCCGTGTATCTCCTAATCGATATAACCGGCCTGCTCTCGTCTATCCCACATGCTCCACTGAGATCCAACATCTAGTTACAGGTGGCCTGTGGAGCTGCCAGTCAGCTGTTCCTAAGGCTGACTTCATCTCTGGCTACGCTTCCCTGCAGTCTTTCCTTGCTCTCACTGAGACCTGGATTACTCCATCCAGCACATGCACCCCAGCAGCTCTCTCCACAGCATATTCCTTCTCCCATACACCCAGACCCACTGGCAGAGGAGGTGGCACTGGTCTCCTGCTCTCTCCCAAATGGAGCTTTTCCCTCTTCAAGCTACCTAACTTCACTCCTTCCTCCTTTGAATTCCATGCCGTCACAGTAACCCATCCTATACAATGAACCCTTGTTGTTCTCTACCGTCCACCAGGCGCCTTGGGGGACTTCTTGGAGGAATTAGATCATCTCCTCTCACACATCCCTGAAACTGGCCCTCCCGCTGTACTTCTCTGAGACTTCAACCTCCAGACGGAAGATATCTGAACTAACATCTCTTTTAACCGCCTTTGCTTTCTCACTGTCTCCATCCCCACCAACTCATAAAGCTGGCAATGTGCTTGATCTCATATTCTCAAGGATCTCAAGGTTCAAGGTTCTTTATTGTCAATCTGACATAGCTACAGAGTAATTATGTAGTTGAAAATCTTATGTCACAGGCTTCTCCAACAATGCAACATAATAACATAACAATAAGAGCAAGAGCAATACAAAAAGAAAAATAGTTATAAAATAAAGTGATGATGTGGAATAGTGCAGTACGAGTCTATATACAAGTTATTGGAATGATATATATATATATATATATTAGGTATTAGATACATATTACTGAGTAGCAGATGAATGTTTGAAGTTGTTTCAGCAGTTCAATTTTTTAACAGTCTCACTGCCCGCGGGAAGAAACTGTCTCCGAATCTTCTTGTCCTTGCCAGGATGCTGCGGTAACGTCTGCCAGACGGCAACAGAAAGAACAGTTTGTGGCTGGGGTGATGGGGGTCTTTGATAATCCTGAGGGATTTCTTCCTGAGCCGCTGGGAGTAAAGGTCCTCCATGGATGGCAGCTCCGTCCTGGTGATGTGCTGTGCAGTTTTCACCACCCTCTGTAAAGCCTTACGATCGAGGTCTGTGCAGCTGCCGTACCAGGCCGTCATGCTGCCAGTGAGGATACTCTCTATGGTGCACCTGTAGAAGGTCAGGATCCTCTCTATGGTGCACCTGTAGAAGGTCAGGATCCTCTCTGTGGTGCACCTGTAGAAGGTCAGGATGCTCTCTATGGTGCACCTGTAGAAGGTCAGGATGCTTTCTATGGTGCACCTGTAGAAGGTCAGGATCCTCTCTATGGTGCACCTGTAGAAGGTCAGGATGCTCTCTATGGTGCACCTGTAGAAGGTCAGGATCCTCTCTATGGTGCACCTGTAGAAGGTCAGGATGCTCTCTATGGTGCACCTGTAGAAGGTCAGGATGCTCTCAATGGTGCACCTGTAGAAGGTCAGGATGCTCTCTATGGTGCACCTGTAGAAGGTCAGGATGCTCTCTATGGTGCACCTGTAGAAGGTCAGGATCCTCTCTATGGTGCACCTGTAGAAGGTCAGGATCCTCTCTATGGTGCACCTGTAGAAGGTCAGGATGCTCTCTATGGAGCACCTGTAGAAGGTCAGGATGCTCTCTATGGTGCACCTGTAGAAGGTCAGGATGCTCTCTATGGAGCACCTGTAGAAGGTCAGGATACTCTCTATGGTGCACCTGTAGAAGGTCAGGATGCTCTCTATGGTGCACCTGTAGAAGGTCAGGATGCTCTCAATGGTGCACCTGTAGAAGGTCAGGATGCTCTCTATGGTGCACCTGTAGAAGGTCAGGATCCTCTCTATGGTGCACCTGTAGAAGGTCAGGATCCTCTCTATGGTGCACCTGTAGAAGGTCAGGATGCTCTCTATGGAGCACCTGTAGAAGGTCAGGATGCTCTCTATGGTGCACCTGTAGAAGTTGCAGAGTATCCTGGAATCCATGTTGAACCTCCTCAACCTGCGGAGGAAGAAGAGCCGCAGTCGAGCTTTCTTGGTGATGGTGTTAGTGTGATGAGTCCATGTCAGGTCCTCAGTGATGAGTCCATGTCAGGTCCTCGGTGATGTGGACCCCAAGGAACCTGAAGCTGCTGACTCTCTCCACCGTAGTCCCATTGATGGCGATGGGGGCGTGTCCCTCTCCCTGCTGCTTCCTGTAATCCACAATCAGCTCCTTTGTTTTGCTGATGTTGAGATGGAGGTTGTTATCCTGGCACCAAGATGTCAGGTTTTCGACCTCCTCTCTGTACGCCGTCTCGTCATCGTCTGTGATCTGGCCGATGACGGTCGTGTCATCAGCAAACTTCACGATGGTGTTGGAGCTGTGTGTGGCCACGCAGTCGTGGGTGAACAGGGAGTAGAGGAGAGGGCTGAGCACGCAGCCTTGAGGGGCACCGGTGTTGAGAATCAGGGTGGAGGATGTGATGTTTCCCACCCGCACTACCCCGCACGCGGTCTGCCCGTCAGGAAGTTCAGGATCCAGTCGCAGAGGGCGCTGTTGAGCCCGAGGTCTCTGAGCTTGATGGCCAGCTTGGAGGGCACAATGGTGTTGAATGCTGAACTGTAGTCAATGAACAGCATTCTCACATATGTGTTCCTGTTCTTCGGGTCCAGGTGTGAGAGGGCAGTGTGGAGGGTGAGGGCTATGGCGTCGTCTGTGGACCTGTTTGCTCTGTAGGCAAACTGCAGGGGGTCCAGAGATTCAGGGAGGGAGGAGGTGATGAATGATTTGACTAACCGCTCAAAGCACTTCATTATGATGGAGGTGAGTGCTACTGGGCGGTAGTCGTTGGGGCAGGTGATGATTGTCTTTTTGGGGACAGGAATGATGGTGGAGTGTTTAAGACATGTGGGGACTACAGACTGCAGCAGGGACCTGTTGAAGATGTCTGTGAACACCTCTGCCAGCTGAACT